AGCGCTCCTCAATAACTTACTTTATAATCTTTGGGTTTTGGAGAAAGTATCAAGTCTTGTCGAGTCAATGACACGTGAAGTCCCGAGTCATTGATGTTAAAGTCCAAGTCGAGTTGCAAGTCTCTTTACATTTTGTCAAGTCGAGTCTAAAGTCATCAAATTGATGACTCAGGTCTGACTCGAGTCCAAGACATGAGACTCGAGTCCACACTTCTGGTACAGGGTGTCCTCGGTGTACGTCTTCGACCTCACGGTGTTTCATGGTAACATCGCTATTTCCAATAACTTTATTAAAAAGTCTTTTTTTATAATTTGAACATGTGACATACATCCACACATGAGAACTAGTTGGTGAGCGTAGTGGACGAATAAATCGTCATGTGGCGCTATACGCAGATGATGGCTTTGTTTACATTCGTTCGTTGCACGCCATATGATGGACTGTGCTACATTCGCTTTCTTCCGCCCTTCATTATGGTTCCCGAGCGTTAACGGACATTAACCTACTGACGTGGCTACCTACAATAACTACTTAGAGGCAGGCATTGTGCTGAGGTGATTTGTGATTTGACTGCAGGTCCACGTTTGTGAGAACACCTTGATAAGTTTGCATGAACAAGTTCTCAATGTGATCAAGGACTTTGTAACGTGATCAAAGTTTTGATGGCACAGACGGAATAGACTCATTAGGGAGAGGGAGGAGGAGAAGGAGGCGGAGGAGGAGGTTTTGATTCACTCAGTCTTAAAAGCTTTTTTTCTCCTCCGCTCTGCCACCGATTTTTTTTTTTTTTTTTTTTTTTTTTCATCTTCCTACACACTCACTGAAAACAGTGAGGACTATTTCAGATTAAATGTTAAAGGTTGACTCATCTGAACACAGAACACGTTTCCGTTGTCTGTTCGTCCGTCTCAGATAAGTAATGTTGCTAGGTATGTGTACTGCGTCTCTAACCTATCAGAAAGCAAAATGAAAAAAACCCAACAAAGCAACACTCTCATGTTAAAAAACACATCCAAAATATTCGACCTGGATTGTTTACAGAAAGACATTGTACATTGTAATCTCAATAAGAATCAAAATAATTGTGATTATGATTTTGCCACATTTACATGTGGGGGGGGTTAAGTACACATTTTACACATGGGTGTATATTATGTGTCATTTTGTGACTTAGATGTGATTTTTTTGGTATTGTACAGATTGATGCATATTTCGTTTCATGTTTTTGACGATTTGTGTTGTTTTCGGGGAACATTTTGGGATCCGGTGGTGTGGAAAACGCGATGTAACGTTAGAGCGCAGGTATCAACTCATCATTGAAAGTGTTAGATTTTACTCGTTTTATTATTTTGATAATTCCAAATTGAACGTTGACCAAATTAGCCATTTTTATTTTTCAGTTTTTCGTGCCTGCATAATATCGTTGTCTACTGGCCATCTGCAAGTGTTTGACAATCGTCATGACAGATATACACGTAGCATCCATGCTGTGCGGTAGCGCAGCTACATGCTAACTTAGCTTTAGCTATAGTTACACGGACATTAAGCAAAATTATTGGTTAAGGTTGAGATATAAATTTTATTTGAATCAGTATTGTCGTATTTATCATTATTTGTTTTTTTTAAATTCAGTTTTCTACTATAGAAAGATATTTTGTTCATGTTCCACAAGGGTAGGGTAGCAGAGTGACACACATTATGATAGGATTTTATTAAGAAATGCGATCGGTTGTTTGGTTTCATCTCCGCTAACAACAATTTCCGGCCAAAAGTTTGTCTGCAGGTCTGGCCCTCTGCTGACAAAAGGGAGCAATTGCAATTGATTAATGCAACTTGTGTCTTGAAGTTTCCATGATAGAAAATAATAATACACATATTTTAGGCTTACATTAATCTCATATAACCTATATATATTATCAAAAACAGGTAACTAAATATAACATTTAGGTCAAATTAGCCCCTGTGTATTACAGGTTATTTGTAACCGGCTGGAGTCGGACCTGCTCATTAGCAGGGCAGAGAGGAAGCGCAGGGACGAAGAGAGTGATGCAATCCCTGAAGTCATCATTGCTCATCCTCTGTCAGTGACATAACCCGTGTAGCCAATTTGACTTCATGCAATGATAATGGTGATGAAGATGACGATTACACTGAGGACAACAATGACCAAAAGGCCCATCCCGGGGCATTAAATGAGTGTTGCTACCCCTGTGACCTCGATAATGTACACCATCCAACAATTTTTGAACTGTCCCTTTATATGTACGACATGTATGAGGCATATCGCACGCATCTAATTCCTCAGATGTTTATCTCTACCGATCAAAAGGAAAGGAAACCAAGTATGATTGCGCAATGTTTGCTATCGCTGTATACTTTACATCCATTTTTAGATGTAAAGTCTTATTATTATTATTATTATTTCTATTGTTGTTTTCTTATTTTTTTTTAGATATATACTGTATCTCCAAAAAGATTTCACAGATTCAAGGCAGATTCTTTATTAGGCTGCTCATGTCTCATCCTGGGACTAATCCAGGACGAGACATATTATTGCATGAGTCAGTGCTTGGAGATGCAATTTAACCATTTTAAAAATAAGCAACACAGATGTTATGGTGTGATCATTTGCCTAATGGCAGTGCCGTGCTATTTTCAGCAGTCTTCGGCGATGTACTGCAAAGACTCCCATGATTTGTCACTCCCGGAGAAAGACTCAAAAACACCCCTAAAATAAAATGAAAGATGTATACGCGTATCGCATGTGAAGTGTGTATCTGAGGAAATTAAATTTCTTTTTGTCTGTTTATTTTCTGTGAGGACGTCTCACTCTCAGCCTCAGTTATTGGGACATAATTGAAGCATTTGAAGGCATCAAACGACCGTCTTTCCTCGTAGCTGTTACAGTAAGTCGGAGTACATGACCAGAGATGATAAGAAAACTAAGATCGACACTATGAAGTGCACCAAAGAAATATTTTTATTTATGAAATTCAGTCTTAAAGTAGTACATTCGGAACATTGTCTTAAGAGGAGAAGAGACGCTGTGATGCTTTTTTCTTTTTTTTTTCCTGTAGCAATAAATAACATTTAACACTTTGTTTCTCCGCAGTGTCAAGACTGAAAAGCAGTAGTGAATACTGAGTACATTGTAATGTAGGGACCTTGAGTTAAAAAGCGTACTTTTTTTATTCACTTCGAAAAGATCAGCACCTCTAACATTGGTGTGCAGTATATCAGCATGTACAGTATAGGAACCTCGGCTGGATTTCGAATGAAAACCTTTAATGCTATTGAAACGTACATACACTACCAGTGCATCAAGAAGCTACACAAAAGTAACAACAATGGCTTCATCTAAATTAGAAGAAAATTGAACGAAAAGTGACGACCTGCTTAGCCTTCAAAATAGTCCTTGGGGGAAGAAAAATCAGCTAACGGAAAAAACATTAACTGTTGTCACTTTTGTCACAGAAAAAATTCTGCTTTGTTGCTATGGTGATTGTTAAAGATAGGTAGCATCAAGCTAATTAGCTAATGTGTTTGTTGGAAAATTGTTTAGGCATAATACAGACTATTAATAATCTATTACTTATAAGAATGGGTGGAATACTGTTGAAAATAGTTTGACTAATCCCGCATTGGCAAGACAAATAAAATAGCCTCCTAAAAGCTATGGACTACCAGAACTAGCCGTTAGCATATTCCAAAATGGTGGGACTCCCAGTACCTCATCTGAAACCCTGTGTCACTTACATTAAATGAAAGGAATAAAAACAGTTCCACCATCAGTGGATGCACATCTTATGTTCCTGTGTTGCCGATTGGTGATTGGTTTATTTTATTTTACTATTTACTGTCTCGTGTTGTGCTTTGTTGTCTTTTATTTCGTATTTCCAAATTTGACCTTAAACTTGCAATGAAGAGTGTGATCCACCAATGCGTGATCCAGCCAAAAAAATTCTGCTACGTTGCTACGGTGATTGTTAAGCACAGCTAGCATCAAGCTAATAAGCTAATCTGTTTGTTGTAAAGAATGTTTTAAGCATAATGCAGACAGTATTAACACTCTATGACTTATAAGAAATGGGTGAAATACTGTTAAAAATAGTTTGACTAATCTCGCATTGACAAGACCAATTAAATAGCCTCCAAAAAGCTACTGACTACCGAAACTAGCCATTAGCACATTCCAAATTGATGGGAGTCTTAGAGCTTGTCCTAACTTTTCAAATGTGAATAAATAAAAAAAAAAATTGTCAAAGTTATTTGAGTTCAGTGAGCTGACACAAAAATTCTAAGATGTTGTTTCTTTCTCTCAATCACTCGGGGCTAATTACTCTCCGGTCCCGGCTCCGCACTTAAAATGCACCAGCATGAAATTCATTCAAAGCTGGATTTTTAATTAATGCAAAAGGTTAATGGGAGTCTGGCTGTGTATAAAGTTTAGACCCTTGATGTTCAGTACGGTGGAAAGAGTCTGCCTGAAAATATAAAACTTCTCAATTTCAATCATAACACCGTGCCGTGTCGAGCAAGTGGATCACCGGGGAGATTGGAAATTAGCGTTGCCAGGTATGAAATGTTGAAGTATTACACCGGCAACCTAAAAGTACCACTTTCTTATTATAGCTTATATCGCAGTTTTACTTTAAAAATCGAGCAGCTGGTTCATCATTACCGTGTTGTGCTAAAGATCAAACTTAGACATTTAAAGGTGTAATAATGGTAATCGTACAGAGGATAACGTTATCGTACAAATAAAATAGCGACCATATGGTCCTGGTCAAACACTGAACTGAAAGTTGACCAATATACCAGCCATAAAAATCCCTCCGTGTATATCGAGGTGTCAAACTCGTTTTGGTTCAGGGGCTACAACCTAATTAGTTGGCCGTACTAGTATAATAACATAATTACCTATAAATAAGAAAAAAGTCTGTAGCCGTACTAGTATAATAACATAATTACCAATAAATAAGAAAAAAGTCTGTATTTTTCTCCTTTGTTTTCATGCAAAAAGTACACAAGATAAATCTTCATATTTAATGAAATATAATCTTACAACACATTTCCTGAACTTGAAGTGTTTGTCTATTTTCAAAATTCATTAAGCGGGCCAGATTGAAACCCCGAGCGGGCCAGAGTTGGTCCGCGGGCCGTATGTTTGACAACCCTGGTCTATATCCTGGTAGTGCTGTATCCAAACCCAGATAAATTAGGTAGTCCGCATGAGAAGGATTTTGGTTAAAGAAAAAAAAAATCTCTGACAAATACATGCAGATTATATTCGAAAAGAAGGAAACAAAAAAAAGTAGAAAGTTCTGTTTTCCTATTAAAGAGAAACATAAAAATAAAATACAGCCATATTGGTGATATTATGAAATGTTCACTTAAGGCAGTTCAACTTATTTAAATCACATATAAAGCTTTTCATGTCTACACTCCTTGGGTATTCACTGTAACGTATACTATAAAATACACAGCTCTGCACAGTGTACAGCACGCTCGGAGCCGTCTCTCGTTTCCCGCGTCTTTGCCAATTACAGGTTTAGAATGGCACATGGATGTACGACTGTAATAAAACAAACAAAGACCATTCAAATCAAAGTAACTAAGTGAATACGAAGGCAAGCAGATACATTAAAAAATGGACACTTTACCTAAGGGAAGCCATCAAACCCATACAGATGAGTCATAATCAGTACGCACAGGCGAGCGGCACCGAACTTTGTCACTTCCTGCGTGATGCTGTCGCTGCGGTCAGACGGCCGCTCGGGCAAGTGAGCCTGGTATGTGGCTGGCGTAGTGCCTACGAGACGCTCAGCTATGTGTCTCAGTCAGTTCCAAAGGTTACGCGGACAATAGCAAATGATCTCCTCTCGTTATGTTGACAGTTTGATGAGAGCAGCAGTGCAGAGGAACTTCTCGAGGGCAACGTAAGGGGAGGAACTGTTTGGAAGAAAAACACCAAAGATCGATGACGGCGAGGATCTAAGAGGTCCAACTTCAGATAGTAATACATCAGAGCAAGTCCGAGCCTTTGATGTCTCTTACTCCCAAAACCACCGCTTGACTGATGTAAAAGGTTTGATCATCTTCGCACTGCTGGCAGCGGCAGAAGTCGAGTACATGAGCAATGTCTGCATTTGTTTTTCGGAAAACCGAGTTGACCATCTTAGCTCAGCCTCTATCGCTGTATATATTCCGCAACAACAAAGAAGAAGACAAAGAACCCTACGCAGCAAACACTGCTGTGTGCTGACAATATAGTAACATAGTTTTTAATACTAAAAAAAAAAAAAGATAACCTGATCGAGGCAGCGCTGGACTGGGCAGTTGTGCAAGGGACTTGTCCAAAAGAGAAGGGTTTGAATCTGCAGCTGAGTATTCCGATTAGGTAGGATCAAAACAAACATCTAAATGGTTAATAAAGTTTGTATTCAGTTAGCTTGACTTCCACAAATTCCGATACATCTGGGCATGCAGAAGGAGCTCAAAGTAGAGTTGAAAAAACGGCCAGGTGTTGGGTTAGCTAGCACTGCCAAACAAGAGGAGTGCTCTGGGTGTGTCCATCCAAGACCTGATCCTTTGAGAGGCTAATATATATTTGCGAGATCACTGTCCTGGCTAGCTGCTGTGACTTGATTAAGTTGAGCAAGACAAGACCAGAGGAAAACAACACCGAACCGTAGCAACGTCGCTCGTTTCCTGCGGAGGGGTGATGTGTGATGTGGTGTGGAGGGGAATTGAACTCACTTGATGGCAGCTAGAGGAGGAAGCACATGTTGGGTGCACAGCAGGATGGGCTCGGAGAAGCAGAGCATCTTTAAAAGTAGCTTAGCTGAAATTCTTCCTTAGCGGTGATCTTTGTGTTGTGGAAATTTTAATATTCTTACGGGAGAAAAATGTAGCTCCAGATGGCATGTCGCCGACGTGCACAATCTGACACAAGCTATTAGAGTGGATGCGGGAACACAGTGAGGGCAGTGGCACATCGTCTTGTACTGATGTGATGAGTCACTGGTGCGTTCAATCAGTTCCTGTGGGCGATTCCGTGTCTTAAAAAGTTGCGACTGACTTGTGACTAGATTCATAACTAACGTTGTTATGTTTTGCTGGATGCTGTTGAGGTACAGGGTGGTGTTTAATGCTAATAAATGACTTATACGTAGCAAAAATAGTAATTAACGCATGTACTTACACTATTACTTACACATTTCGTTGGTATTTTTCTGATTTATTTATCGTGAATATGATTCCGTCCCAAATCATCTTTCATTCTCTTTCACTCTAGTTTCTACTAGTGATGTCTCGATCCGATACTCATGATCGGTATCGGCACGATATGTGCTGAAATTTCAGGATCCAACACTGATCCAATACCTAAGGCCGAATGCTCAACTAAACTTTGTACTTTTTACTGCAAATACTTAGTCTTTTTTCCTCAGTGCGACAATGACAGGCAAAACAATGACATATTAAAATTAAAAACTAAATTTAAAACAATGCCGATAAGTGTCCGGAAGATTACAAAAACTAAAAAGAGATAGGGAGCTGGTGAAGATCTTCCATTCCTGTGAGTTTGTCAGGGTTTTGTTTAACTAAACAGGCCAGGACGTAACACTGAGTAAGTAAATTGAGTAAACTGAAATTAGGAGATCATCATATTTAATTAAACTTTTTTTTTTGGGACGTTTGTATTTGGTTTTTAAAATATGCGCCATGGCTCCAAAACGATTGGGAATTGTACTGTATATAGTACCCAGCCCAACAATAATGGGCCATGATAATTAGTTTTATTTAGCTAGCGGCGTTGATGTGAAGTGTCGTCATATTTAAACATCCGTGCATACAGATCATCCTGCTGTTATTTCGCAACTCACCTACAGTGGTCATTGAATGTTTGGGTATGTGATGGCTCCTTCGCGCTTAAAATGTATGCATTCAAATCTATACAACTCCCTTTAAATACATTTCCCCGTTAACTACCACATTAGGCTGATCGTCACTGGGGCCCATTTGATTTTGTGACGCTTTGGACGTTTGCGGTCCAGTCCGGGAGACTCTGGTGTTCGTTCGTCACCCTTGCCCGAAGTGCTGCTCCATTTGAACACATTGTATGGGAATATCCTTCTTTGTCCCGCGTCAATAAAATGTATTTACAGGGTCCTGTTGTCCTCCCCTGCTACAGTCGAAGTGCGACCGCACACTCAGCAGTAAACACACCAGTAGATCAGATTAAAAAGGATGTAGGCACCAGGGAAAATCATGCGAGAGTAGGTGTCAATGGTGTGTGTGTTCTGGATTATCCTGAAACCCCGCAGGCCTTTTTTCTTGGTTCCCGTCGACTCGTTGTCTAAGGAGAGGTGCACCACCATCCGTTCCTGCTTCTCCGATGCGTCCTCAGCCATCATGGAGGCACGGGTGTACCCTGCCAGGCTGTTGTTGTCCGCTTCGCTGTAGGTACCATCCAGCATCATGGTCCTGGTATGGGACATGCCGCAGGTGCAGGGCAGGTTCTGGGACTGCTAGGTTAAGACAGATCACAAAAAAAAAAAAAACATGATTTTAAAGTGGACCGCAGAGTAGGTGGTGTGTTATTTCTGGAATGTTCTTTGTACCTGCTCTGAGTTTTTTTCCCTGAGTTTTCTTTCTTTACCGTCCCTCACCGTGGTCAGGTAGTTGACCGCAGCGTACTCGAGCACGGACAAGAAGACGAACACAAAACTGACCCAGAGGTAAATATCCACAGCTTTGATGTAGGATACCCTGGGCATGGAGGCATTGACCCCAGTGATAATGGTGGACATGGTGAGCACTGTGGTAATACCTAAGACACGGGACGAATACAAGTTGTTACAAAACAGACAGAATTGAACTTTTGGTGTTTATGTGACTGTAGTACTAGTTAATACACAGTTGAAACGCGGTGAATGCACTTGTTTTTCAAAACGACTGTAAACGCGGGATTCGCTGCAAACTCGATACTAGGGATGTCCGATATTAACTTTTTGCCGATATCCGATATTGTCCATACACTTAATTTCCGATTCCGATAGTAACCAATACAGTTCTAGCGGGGCAGTGCCGCCTGCTCACTAAGGTGACGGGTCAAAGCCATGCCCCCACCAAGGGGACAGAAGATTTTTCAGCCCCCCGGCCCCCAAATTCGTTAAAATACTATTAAGCACCTGGTAATATTGGTTTATTTATCTGTACAAACCACTGTAAGAGTTGCTGACACCAACATTCTGCATCATCAATATAGATTCATAAAATAAGCTGCTCTGCTGCCATCTAGTGACTGGAGGCTTTTTTGAGAGATATTACATAATTATGCTAATATCGGCCGATATTATTGGACATCCCGATACCTGTTTTTGTTCACACTTAGAAGGATGTCGTGTGCGCATTTATTTGCGCGATTTTTAAACTGACATACATATGTCAGTGCGAATTATATATGTATTGCGAATTATATTATACACACACGCTGAGAAAAACCTGTAGTTGGTTTTTTAGGGCTTTGCACCTGAATTGGTTAATACAGGATCGAGACTGCCATCTTGAGGTGGATTAGTGAATGTGCATTAGTTGCGGAGTGAGTGCGCATTACTTAGGAAGCTGCGCAGCGACTACTGTTTTAGATGACATTTATTTTCCTTCACTCAATTCATTCAAAAAAATAAAAATAAAAAAAATATTTCACCCAGTGAGACTCTGGCGGGGACAGCCCGGCGGTCAATCCAGAAGGACACCCAGGACAGCATGACCATCAGAGTGGCAGGGAAGTATGTCTGCAGCAGGAAGAAGAAGATGTGTCGCCTCAGGGTGAAGTTGATGTACAGACGGTTATACCAGCCTGGAGACGAAGAAAAAGATAAACATAAATAGTTTTGATGTGTCGTTAGCGCAGCTGAGAAATAACCCACTGTTGTTTTTTTTATGGACCTTTTTTTTTTCTTTTATTTCCTTGATTATTTTATGTCCACTTACTTAATGTCCAATGATTGTTTGTCATTTGTAATACAATTTTAATAGAGTGATATTAAGGTGTGCAGAGAGAGAGAGAGAGAGAGAGAGAGAGCTGCTCTTTGTTTTTTTGTTATTGAGGTGGCAAATAAAAAGGTGCATAGAGAGGAAATGTAACGTATGCATTGTATGCATCCGCAAGGGGTGGCGGAAAAGTAAGTGAGGGTGGTGCAAAAAAATCACAGTGAGACGAAGGTGCGGTGTTTTTCACGAAACTGGGAATTTGTTTTTAATATAATTTGAATTGTAATTTAGGATTGTTGATTTATCTGGGTGGCGCTTTGGCCCAGAGGCAATGTCTCTGTTGTTGGTGTGGAACCCCAGGGTTCACCTCCTGGGCAAGATCGAATCCCAGTTGGGGTGGTTGGTACCTTCCAGTGGATTCACCACCCGCAGGAAGGTTTAAGGGGGGTTGGTACAGTGCAGTTTGATTTGGGTGGCGGTCATGGAGACTGCCGGCCCCGCGACCCGGTAACGGATAAGAGGATGAAAATGGATGGATGGATGGATTTGTAATGATTAAATGTGACTGGTCTGTTGTTAAAAAAAATAATTGTTTGACACCAGAGAAGATCAATTGATGTGGTAAACAAAATGCTGTGTTGCTCTCAAGCTGGCACCTTAACACGTGGTACGATGCATGTGTACTACCATTTCGCTTCAAAGGAACCATAGGGATTACATTAACAAACAGTAGCAAAAGACATCCCTGTGGTGTTAAATATTTACATTCTACTATGACACAGCAGAAAACGTCGGTAAAGACACAGGTACCCATCCTCAATGTGTACATTATGCCATAATAAGCACTGATGCAAAGAAGCACTCCCATTGTGCCGCGAATGTGTATCTTTGTATTCTCACAATAGGGGAGTTTTTCTAACAAGATTCTCTATTATTGCACAGCACCGGCTCGTGAGAAATAATAAAGCTCGAAGTTGCCTCTTTTAGTGTTAAGAAACTTTTTTTTATTCCTCTTTTTATTATCTACACCGCTACCCTCAAAGGCTTGCTGGTGCTGGAGCCAATCTCAAAAGAGAGGATAAATATAATTGTTGCACTAAAGTATCACAGACAAGTGGAAGTTACCTTGCAGCAACCTTGCAGCTTCAAAAGGTCCAACTCATAAAACCCCAAAAAAAGATTAATTTTAGGTTGGAGTTCGCTGGGCGGTCCACTCCACAGCCAAAAAATGTTGGATTCAAGTTCTGCATTAAAAGTTATATACGAAACCTTACTAGCAGTATCAGGTAAAACAAAAACTAAAAAATGGAAAAACTGCAATTTCAAAAGAATCAAAAAGTTCTCAACAATTTGGCTTAACAACAGAAGACCCAACTTTGCCTTAAACAGTTTATAACGTGGGTGTCAAACATACGGCCCGTGGACCAAAACCGGCCCGCTAAGGTGTTCAATCCGGGCCGCTTAATGAAATTTGAAAATAAAAATACATAAAGACTTCATGTTCAGGATATTTTTTGTAAAATTCTATTTCATTAAATATAAACGGATAATAACGTTAATAACAATAATAGAATATAAGTACTATCAGGCTCTAGTAATTACCTGTGCTGCTGTAGAAAGCAAGTCTCGAGGTTGTGTGAAACTTCTGGATGAGGAACTGTGACAGAGAAATCCTGTCGTCGGTGCTCAGAGACTCGTCGCCACTTTTCCAATAGAGCATCAGGTCCTCGTCCGTGTAAGCATCTGAGGAATTACAGAAAAGAAGTTCTACGCGCACGGTTTGAAAGTACTGTATTCAGTAGCAACAACAGCGTTTGTACCTCATTTAAAATTGTAAAAAAAAAGAAAATCAATGAAGAAAGTAGAAAGAAATGCTTGGTAATACGGCATGGCATCAGGAGTGGTTGATGAGAGTTTGAGCACGGTGCCGAGCATGGGAACAATTGGTGAGATGTGCGGTTGAACAGACAGGTGAATCATGGCAGAAACATGAATGCTCACACATCAGCAGTGTCGTCTAACTTTGTACGACGAATAGCTACGATGGACACACTGATCCTGAGCGTGGAGCTATAAAGCAGGAGG